ATTCATCTTTAAATGTTAACTCAACCGTAATACTTACTTACTTACGCCTGTTACTCCCAATGGAGCATAGGCCGCCAATCAGCATTCTCCAACCCACTCTGTCCTTCCCCATCCTTTCTAGTTCTATCCAATTCTTGTTCATTCTTCTCATGTCTGTCTCCATTTCTCGGCGTAATGTGTTCTTTGGTCTTCCTTTTCTCCTTCGACCTTCAGGATTCCATGTGAGGGCTTGTCTAGTGACGCAATTGGGTGATTCCCTCAATGTGTCCTATCCACTTCCAGTGCTTCTTCCTGATTTCTTCCTCCACTGGATGGAATCTGGTTTGTTGCCTCCCACAGTAACTTGTTGCTGATAGTGTAATACTTACTTACTTACACCTGGTACTCAACTCATATAACGATCACTAAAAAGTTTAATAGTCTATAAACAAATACATAAATATTTAAAACTGAATCAACATCTAATTAAACGATATATTTAACCAATAATAATAATAATAATAATAATAATAATAATAATAATAATACCAAGATTTGTGAATAAAGATAAGAGAGACAATTACATTTGACTGCGAAAGGTCGTAAGTACATAGTCAAATTAGGTCACACAATAACTAAGATTATTGTTAATTAATTGGCCTTGTGGTTGACCAAGGGAGGAGTAGGTGTTGGAGATATTTCTCCTGTACGCGTAGCTCAGGTTTCTTCATCCTGATGGCTACTGCCTCCGTCGTTTGAAGGACTTTAATTCTGACAAGCTTTGGCGAAAACTTACTGACCCTATAAAAAAATGAAAAGAATTGGTTTATAATGGCACTATGACCATTATTTACTAAATGGGCCAAAATCGAGCTGTTTACTTTCTTCATCAGACCTTTGCTTAGCCACGCAGGAAGGTGTTCACGAGCATGAAAATGTAAGTTCCTAGAACTTCGACCAATATAACTTGCCCCACAGGAGCAGTCGAACTGATAAATACAAAATGAGGTGGTCATTCTAGGTAATTCATCTTTTAGCCTCGGTGTCACCATTGGGCGCGTAGAAAACACTAAACGTAGTTCACTGGCGTTGAAACATTTTTGGATAGATCTGCATAATCTCTGAGTTAGTATTTCACTAGCCGCATCCCCTCTGAATTGTAGGCGCATGAACAGGGACTTCTTCTTGACCGTTTGAATTTCGCCTATTCTCACTCTCGCCATCATATCTTCTAGGTTAGCCGTTCTCCCTCAGAGAATTGTGTAAGGTGTTTAGCTAATCTTCAACTATATCTGCAGAACATATAGGGCGTATCCGGTATCTAAGAGTTTTGATCAAGTTACGTCTGTACTGTAGAGGTACAAAGCTAAGGAAATGTGTATACTGCCCAGTCCAATGTTGGGCCTAAACGTTAAGCGTTCACAAGCTAGATCAAAGGTATTGGGTTCGACTCCTGCATGAGAGGTCATGTATGCCTACAACTGAGGAGTCCCACACAGGAATGTAACGGATATCCAGTGTTTCCAGTTTGCCAATAATGGTTTAGATCATATTTGAATGGTAAGTGTAAGTTAACACGAAATTCAGATCCAAAGCAGTCTAATTATTACCTGTTTTATAACCTTTAATTATTTTTTATTGTAATTTGTAAGGGAAGATGATTGTCTACATCTACCCTATCAATTTCACTAGTAACACTTTTTAAACACCGAATAATGAAAAAGTCTATGATGTATGTTCCTACTTGTTAGTAGTATAGGTTTCCCATTGAAAATAAATACTTAAATGTAAAAAATTTTGAATACTTCACTGGATGGTCTCAAGAACAGTTAAATTTTATTAGAAAGACAAGAATCTCTTCAGGAACGATAACCACTCGCACACTTTCTACCAATTCCATTTTCCGCATAACTTTTGCCCTCTGATTGTTTGTCATGTTTTTTTAGTTTGCTAAATTGCTGTATCCTTGAAGGTCATTTTCTACTACTATAGTAACAAATTTTGTACTAATTTCATTTGAGTTGCTTGTTCTACTACAAATATCAAGTTACCTGCAATTCCGTCTTACTCCTGTCTTAATCGTCGAGGTTTGATGTGTTGAGTATAATTGACTGTTGTCAGTTACGAAGAGAACCGATTGTATTAGGGAAGCTCAATCGTCTTCTTTCCTATATCCGTAACATCGTACACCGTAATGAACCCCAATGACAATATATAACAACAAGAAAGCTTCGTTTTTCTGCAAGCCATGAAGTTGAAATTCAATTTGTTAAACAATACTGGAACAAATGTCTTTAGTTACGTATGATAAATTAAAAAAAGCAACATTAACATGTTTAATTTATGTCTAATGTCAATATAAGAAATCAATGTAAAAATATTCATTAGAGACATGTTAATTAAAGAAAATAATTTTCGTCATGACCTGACAGCAGAGGAAAACTCACCATAATGTTACATAAAAAAAGGGAAATTGACTCAACTGAAAAGATAGTCATGACTATTGATCTACAGTCAAAGCATGTTCATATTAGAAATGTGAAAGTCACATGTTTATTCCTCGGCGAAGTTGTAATGGAAAGGAGAAAATGAACTGTTTAAAAATCTCTAAACAAAATAATATAAGCAAAGATGGATAATGGCTACCAAATTAAATAAGTTAAAACAATATGTTGTGAGATGGATAGTGGCTAGCAGTGGAATCCAGAACGCACGTTTCGCCCTATTTGGGAATCGTCAGATGGGTGTACTTGCATCTCAGAGTTGATGTTCACTCTGGGATAACGCGATGGCGTTCGAAGCGAAAGGCACTGGATTCGAGTCCCATTGATTTGATCAACCGATGGAAAGCTGTCAATATTTGTGGAGCATAGATATTTCATTTCCAAGGACTATTATGGAATTCAGGGTCAGCTATACTGATATGCAATTAATGTTTGCAGGAAGTCAAAGGGATCAACATGCCAATTGGTTTGTAGTTGAGTAGCATGTCAAATGTTGTTTATCTTGGTGTAAGTTTTACTTTACAGTATTTGTTTTATGTTTACCGCTTAAGTCATTACCATGGGAAGTTGAGGTATGTTTGACATTGTTCAATACTTACGATTACTTAATTCCTGGTTGATGCCTATTATCATATTTGGTTCTCCACTATTTCTCTTCTCGTACTTTTGAAAACAAATTACGCTGTATGGCATAGATTTCTGAAAGCTATAGGTAGGGTGTGATTTATCTTTTAACGTTATTATAAATATACTAGCTGAAAAGCAGGATAAACTTTTCACACTACCAGATCTGATAAAAACCACCCACTTTATTGACTACTTGCCTCATGTCTATCTTTTGGCAGCCCAAGATGCTGATACACAAGGAATAATGGTTCCAAATGAACATACACAGATACTACGACGTATCTAGGATATATACTATGCGATGAAAAAGTTGTAGGAGTTGACTTGGAGTTTGTGTTGATGATACTGTTCAGAAGGACAGTGAGAGCTACACGACGAGGCTATTTACCTCAGAGAACGAAACTCCACTATGAGCTGACCTAACGAGAAGCATCTCCTAAACATGCATACACATTATTCACCAGTAAAAATTGCTCTTTCTTGTCAAGAATTTTATTCACTTTTACACAATTTTGTTCATTCTGCGTATATATTCTTTAGGCATGTATGAACGGGGGAAATTTGTTGTGATAATATATCCTGAGAATTTTGTATCATGCTAAAACATTATAGCCAATTTTGGTTAAGCCCTTTTTATAACTTACTTAACAGACATCGTCATTTGGATAGTAACAATTTGCATATTCTTTGCACTGCTATACCACTAGAGCACATGACACTCTATCCGAAATGTTGACTGCTTAAATATCATTCGATGACTCATACTCCTCCCCATATATGTACGCACGCAAATATTGTTATCAGCCTTTGTTTTGCTTTACTGTGCCCTTATTAAATTTGACTATAAATTGCCTATGTAATTACTTGCTATTCATCTCGTTCGTTTCCTTCGCTTGTTCGCCTGTTCACTCGCTCTCTCGCTTGCCGCTCGCTCGTTGTTATTCGCTCAGGTGTTGTTAGCTTTTTGACCTGAGTTATTCGACAATAAACTGTAGTTGCTGCTATCCTTCGTCTTCTGATTTTACGCACCGTTAAGTTTAGAATTATAACGGTTATCGAAGTAAACGATTAACGAATCGCGGCACTAAAACATCTATTTTCGCTCGTCATTTTACTGAAAGTAATGATTTTCATCATCAATACTGAGATGTTATGAATATTACCATGGAAGTCCAGAAATTAGGATTCACCCAATGGTCAACATGCTATATATCCAACCGGTATATTTAAAAATGATGTTAATTCTTTGCTCGAGTCAAGACAAGGCTATTAGAAACAACTGTCGTTTTAAGTCTTTTAGCCTATGAGCAAACAGAAATATGAAACCAAAATCTACATCTGATTCACCCAAAATATAGAAAAATTTTCGGGCTGAAACACTTTTAACAGTGATTGGTTTAATTTTAATCCAATCATAATTAATCAGGTCAACCGGGCATTTACATACGTTCATTTTTACTCTAAACATGACAAATCAATTTTCTTTTCATGTAGGCAGGCAGACACTATAGCCTACATAAATTGATCACTAGGCCAATCTAGACAAACAAAGACCATGAGTTTAAAATTAGTCTAACCAATCAAATTAGTTTATTGGGACAGGTTGTGTATTAACGTGTCTATTTACTAAGTTGAATTAATACATTGGACAGTACGTATTCAGTTGACGCATTTCGTCTGAATTTTACATTTTCTTTGATGATTACCTGTGAGATTAGGCTGAATATTGAATTCCAACTTTAGCTTATTAATGGAGTTAACATGTACATTAGAATTGTTACATCATCTAATCAGTCATAATTGAATAATACAATTAATCATTGTTAAACCGATGGCGTACAAATCCCGGTGACTGTCGTTCTAATTTTTGCTCAAGTTTCTCCATTAATAATGCCAACTGTAAGTATGGCTAATTTCGATAGCGAAGACCTATTAAGTGCTAGGCTCCTATCATTTATGGCTAATGGTGATCAATCGAACTCGGAGGGGCAGTATCATATGAGTGGAAATACTGACTTTAATACATCAAATTTTTATTCACTTATGTCGGAATCTGGAAATACAAGTTTCAACATTAATTCACCAGGTCACCGAAACGTCCAAACCTCACTAATTTACGACAGAACATCTAGTGGGATATCTTTAAGTCCTTCGAATGAAAATGGAGTATATGGTGGGGTACCTGTTAGTCCCATATCAGGGCCAAGTACCCCTCCTCCGACTGTTATGTCTCAAGCTGATTTGGCCGATAATTTCCCGAATATGCGTTACAACCATATTGGAGTACCTCCTTACTCAGCACTTACGTCTCCATGTCTAGGTAACAAGTTGGGGTCCATCCCACAACACTCATTGTTAAATTTGAACAACGGAGCTGGTGATCGTCACAGTTTGCAAAACTCTCCATTTTACAATCACTATCCTGGAAATTTGCAGACACATTTACAGCGACAATATCCTGGGTTATCACCAGGACCTGCTGGGACATTATTTTCTAATGGGGTGGGTGGATTTGGTACTACGTCACAAAATCTAATATCAAAAAATGGATTATATCAGGATGCTGCATTTTCACTTCCCGGTTTTCGTCCTACAAACTCAAGTTCCACATACTGCCCTCAGCGAGAACTGTTTCCTACCATCCAGTCATCCCATCCAAGTAACAGCTGCCATAACTTTGTGGGTCCTGGTCTTTTGATGCAAGATCGTTTACACTACTATGCTATCGCACAGAAGCATGGGTTTATAGTTGGTGCCGAATTGGAGCGGATTAAGGAAAACTCACGCCGTTCTACAAGTCAGTCTTACGGCAGAATTTCAGCATATTTTCGTAATCGTTATGGTGAAACAGAAGCTAAAACCAAAGCAGCGTACCTCCAACTAGGAGTGCGGGTGCCAAGCAAGGATCATGTTTCAGAAATTGTTGGAAAAGGTGGTAAGTATCAGTTTACAAAACGACACTTTTTAAACACATATACTTTGTATGTTGTTAATTTCTGTGTTCAGCCGTGACACAGTATAATCTCTTTTCACTACCCAAATTATATCATATCTATAATCTTGATAGTAGTTCCATCTTATCCTTCCCATTTCGTTTGTTTTTTGTCCTGAAATATGGAGATTTCAAAATGTTAAAATTTCTTATTTCACTCGGCACGTACGTGGTATTAATGGATATCCAGTAACCTCTATAATTAGGTTATATTTTTTTATGCGACGGTCTGGGTAATCTTCCTAAGTTAACCACATAGGTGCGTGTATTTGTGGGTGTACCAAGTATTCATATGTGTCTTAGGAGCAGTAGATCAATACATTCCTAAGATGTCTTTCATTTGGGCTTTAATGATCTTAAAGTATACCCATTACTCGTAGAAAGATATGATTAAGAACTCTTCAGCAGAATGTCTGCTCATTAAGAATATGCGTCAGCCATCATATGTTAAAATTGTTTTCTTTTCGGCAGTTGTCATAGCTCTTTCTTCACAAAGAGAGCAAGTAGTTTGACGTTGTGGATATGTGTCTGAGTTCGAGATAGCTAATTCGAACATATGCTAACATCATTAGACTTATAAACGGCAGATATTCTCACAAGCGCTGCATTATAAACCCAAACTGGCGTTTTCTCAGTTAAGGTGGTAGTCAGGTTATTTATATAAATCATGTGAGATGTTTTGTGCTCATGTTTGACGCGCAATTCTTCCTAATCTACATGTAATGTACCATTTTGATGCTGGCGTTTTCATGTCATTTTGTATGACTAAGGTAATTTTTGGTTATGTATGTGACTTTATTGGTCTTGAAGATTAGGATCTAGTCAGTATAATTCTATTTCTGGAATATTATTTCGGCTTCTCATAACTGACTTTCATTGATATCGAACAGCTTGACATAATGGGTTAATTTGCTTTTGTAATGAGGTGTCGGTACAAATCATTAAATTCTCGGTTTCCATACACTAAGTCCTTCTGAACTTTAGTTTCTTATTTTTTTGGTTTCTTGGTGTCCTGGACTTTTTATGTAGTGAAACAGTATGAAAGTATTTCGGTCCCATTTTTATCCTTAGAAGTAACTGTTGTTGCGTAACTTAAATTCCAAATTGTTTTAATGTAAATACTCACACTTTGAAAGTATGAGGACTGCGTGATTCACGTCTGCACTGCAACAATAAACACAATCTAGTAAATATTAGTTCATTTATTCGATTTTAAGGTTTATGTTATGACCGTAAGCTCACAGTTGCGTACAATGAATGGACCGGTTTTTTCAAGATGGTCATATATATTGCATTGTGTAATTTGTTTTGTATAATTTTCGTGGTAGATTTGCTGCTCCTTGGTGACAACAATCAAGTTTCAACCATTAAGTCGTGCCTTAAACGATAATATGATGTTGCATAACTTCTACAGAATACACATAAAAGGGGGGTAAAACTAATGTTTGTATTGGATTATAGTTTGGATGTGGTAAGATAATTAGAATGTATCTCAATAATTAAAGATATTAGAAAGACTAAATAAAATTATATCGAAAAACGGTTACCATTAAACATCACGGGACAAATAATAAATTAGGTGATACGGAGGTCTTCAAATTAAAAAAATAAATGGGAATGTTACCGATTGAGCCCAAGGTAAAGACAATCAGGACGTACTTCTACTGTTTTAAGGAGTTCGAAACTAACAAATCTTGACAGATTTGGGTGGATTCTGCCTTGAAACTGTTAGGGGGGTCAATTAAGCGTTCAAAGCCAATTTAATGTTCAAGGGCAGAACTGTATTACTTTCCTCACCCTAGTAGTATTAAAATGAATTATATTCTCGTATGTTAAAGATAAACACGCTACGGTCTATGTATCGTACTCGACAGGAGCAAGTAAACTGCTAAATCTACGTAGATGCAACCAGATGAGGGAACGTATCGTCTACGGACAGTTTCTTGATTTGTGAGAATTGTTTTTCCTATCACGTAAATCTCCAGTATTAGGTTTCCTAACGACATCTTGATCCTAGTAGTGTTTATCGGGCAAAAGTACACTGATATTAGCAGTATGTCAAATATATAATTACACCACATTTTTCTATGCTATTTTGAGAGATAACATCTTGCGTTGAGGTAGGCGGTGGTTCGGCATACGTATTACACGTCTTAGTCACCTCAGTTGGCGAATATTCACTACTTCACCAACTGGTTTGTTATTTCTATATATTGTCCCGCGTCTGACTTCAGGATCGTTCACTCAGTAGTCCCAACAATTAAGCAATGACTCGAAGGACAGTGTCCAACAGTCGTGAACGCTTAAGAATATATTTCTCACTGCGTATCTTCCAAACACAACCAAAATCTGAAAAATGAATAATTTTTAAATTAGCCGTACAACTTCCCAATTGGAGTCAGCCTTTACTGTTGACATCAGTAGCACTAGCTAACCAGTTCGTCCGGGCTTTGTTAATACTGGTTGGGTATTGCTAAATCTATTGATTAATAAGAATTCACCTACAAATATCACTCATTTCTCTACCCAATTAATTCCATAATTAGAGAAAAGCTGTCTTGCAGTTTTTTAAATTGCATTATTGTTACAATCTCTGTCGTCGCATGGGATTTATTAGCTGTAAAATAGCTAGACTAATTGAAAACAGTAGTTTAATACAAAATGTACCTATCAAGGAACAACACAGGATGAGAAAAACCATCGATCTTTTTTCTAGAAACATAAAGGCATGGATTTTGATTGATCTATTTTGTAATAAAACCTGGGTTTATTGATTATGCTCGTATGAAATTATCTAAATCTGTTGTTTTGTATAGCTCGACATTGTTGGTATCTGTTTTTTAGTGATTATTTCCTGGCGCTGTCTGAATTTAAAGTGGAAATATCTCTAAACACATTGTTTACTGTCGTATTTTTGTGTTAGGAAAGTGTAATATGTAATGAAAAATTCGCTGGTAAAACCCTGCACAAATGAAATGAAGCACACCTATTGTATCAAGCTTTTAATATTATTTATTTAAACTCATAAATATTGGTACAAGGAAGCACCAGATACATATGCGCCTCACAAATCTCATCCGATTTGTGTGAGGGCTGTGATACTGCCCAGGTGACCAGACTGAAGCAGGTGGTTTTCTTAGGGGGCCACACCCCGAGCCTTTGACCTGAATGTCTGATCCACAAGGCAGTGGGGCATCGTGAGGAGATGCAGTCCCATGGTAGCCGGTGATCAACGGTTGATTCGTACGCCATTTGTTCCCTCAGGATACTGGAGCCCATGTGCACCACTGGTTTGGAATCAAGGTTTTCCAACTCCCCTAGGTGAACTTTCCATGTCCACCAACCCGGTTAAAGCGCCGGACATTCGCTTTTCGTCCTCTCACTTTCGTAAACAACACCCCCGCCACGAGAAGGCAGCGAGTAGGACTTCCCTGGCAGAGGCTATATATTCGCTGGGCATATGAGAGCATTTGGAGAGGGAGAGGTGACTCTCCCCACTCTCGGCCGTACCAGGGCATTTGGGGGCATTAAAACTATTGAAACCACAAGTTGTCAAGTTTTATCTTTTACGAACTTGTTGAGAAGTGAAGATGCAACAATATATTTCAGTAATCACTCACTAATCTTTTATATCGGACTATTGGCCATCTGTTTATGTGAGAGTACTTTATATTCTCCCATCAATCAACCTAAAATGCATAGAATCACTCTAAGCCTGTGATTGGGTAATTAATTAACAAAAGTTTCTTTATTATTGGACGACATCGAGGTTGTCAGTAATGATTGTCAATTTGACTATTATCATTAAGATTTCCAGCTAGTGTAAATATAATCGTTTTTCAAGTATCCAACTTTTATTTGGTTGAACGATTACTGTTTAACTTTTTAAAATGTCCCTTTTCTACAAGTTTCTCAGTAACATTTAGGAAGTGTTTTCATTGGTTCCACTTTAAAAAGTAGTCTAGAAACACTCATCCTGACCCAGCAATCGAACATAGTATAAACTGTGCGTTCTTGTCATCCCAAACATTACCATGTCCAGCTGTTTATTTTCTATAATTATCGTCTTTGAATTACTAATCTCTGTGGATTAGTAAATTTTCAGTAATAATAAGTCTTTTTTCAATATCTTGAAATTACAATTGAATGACAGCGCAAACAGTGAAGGTGCAGTGATCTGAATCATTCATTTCTTCAGCATATTTGGATACCTTTTTGTAAAGTCGTTTAGTGGAAGTTAGTGGGTTATTTTGGTTTTGGCGGGAATTTTCTCAATTTTGATTCGATATTAATTTCACATTTTTAACAACATTATTTATTATGCCAACGCTCTATATGTCTTCACTGTGTTGATTGTAATCAGCTGATAACTATTTATTTATCTCATTCCAATAAAACTAATTGCCTAAAATGTTCGTAACTCTACCAAAATAGTTAGCGATTCTTACCTTTTACAACCTTTTTAGGTCAAAAAATCAAATTGATACGTGAAGAAACTGGCGCTTTAATTACAACACCTGGTGAACAAGAAGAACATGTGTTTATCATTGAAGCTCCCCCAGAAATAGCGATGCGTGTTGCTCATCATCTAGCCACCAGGGCACAAGAAATAACTCAAAGTAAGATTGTTGCAGGCGAAAGAAGACGTGGTTCTACTAGTTCCCAGCCATGTGGTACAGATAGCGGAGTAAATATGACTAATGCGTCTACTGGTAACTCAGGACCAAACTTAACGCCTGGTGGTTCAAACAACTTCGTTATTTCTAACACATGTCCTGCTTCTGGGCTTTTATCACTAAGCAACAGTGTGAATAACTCACCACTTCATCCATCTACAACTGTAAATGCACATTTCAATGGTGTTATTCTTTCTTCAAACAGCTCTGTCCGTAGTTCAAATGCAACCATATTTACTCCCTCATTCTCAAGTTTACCAGCTAGTCCAGGAAACTCGAATTCATTGGGTAGTCAGTTACAAACGAATACAATAACGAGCACTGGCATGTTTTCAAGCACAAGTACACCTGGTAGTCGTGTGCTTTTGGCACGTGGTCGAATATCTGTTCCTCAGGAAATGGTGGGTAAGATAATTGGCACTCAGGGGTCAATTATTACTACTATACAAAAGGATACTGGCACGGAGATAAAAAGCCCTCCTAAAGAAGCTGTACGTGGTCCAAATGCAACGTCTGAATTCGAAATTTCAGCATATCAAGGTTTAGGCTTAAGTTCGAACCAGGCTGCTGAATGTAGAGTGCAACAAGCCAAGCAGTTGATTGGTCACTTAGTAATGAGACAGTTGGAACGACGCGCCAGCGAGGAGGTGGAAGAGGCTTCTGGATCATCTAATATAAGCTCTGAAGATCAAAGAGTTAATGGTCCCAGTGCATCGACAGTATCTAATGTTTGTAACAGCACTTCAAAAACAAACGGTGGCGGTAATAATGGTTGGATGTGGCCTGATGTTGCTCAAATGGATTCACAAGAAGCTCGTGAAGTTTTAGATCGCATACTTGTGGAGTCCAAAAATAAAACTCGTCGAGCCAAAGAGCTCGCTGTTGTTTCTACAGGGCCTGCATCAACATCTGTATGTTCGATAACCACTATGAATACTCAGAGTTCGTTACTTAATCTAAAAGGTTGTAATGGTTCTCAAAGTTTATCTGGAGATAATCAACATTCTAATCATTTTCAGTCTCACTTACTGAATGGGACTTATTTTGACAGTGCTCAAACGAATGGCTGTGAGGATGTAATTTCTGGTGATGCCTCTGCTTGTAATGGCAACTCAAGCAATCAATGTGCACTAAATAATGACTCAAGAATGTTAACAACTCCATTTAGTCTAAACAATGGCCACTTTAATCATCGTTCTTCAACTACATCAACTGACGGTGCATCTAATGGATTCCAAATGTGTATTCCACGTACTGTTCAGAGTAAGTATTCTTGGTTCCTGTTTTTTGTGTCTTGATTTGTGTTAATAGTTTATAATTAACAAAGACTACTTTCAATAGAAGCATTATAAATGTGGTGAATTATCTACACCATAGTCAATTTTAAGGTTCGTGAGAAATATTTAGCTGTAATACGGTCACTTTTTACCAATATAACGTATAATAGTTTGTGAACCATTGTCACGTACCTGTTATAAAGTGACTTTGTGAATGCAAGGTCTATTTTTGTTTATCCGCTGAATATAGTATTAAAATCAGTTCATTTTTTGTTAATTTATGTATGAAAAAGTTTTTGTTTTATTATGGGACTAAAAATAATATCACTACACGAGATATCAACTTTGTAAAGAAATGGGGATCCATATGGAAGGGAAAAATTAATGTTCACAAGAACTCAGTCGCCGTATATTCCTATAAAAAAAACCATACTATTCCAGAACAACACAAATTAACATACTACAAAATGATTCCCATCGACTTCTGTTCTGAAGCGTATTCAATAACATCTCAAATCAAGAAAGGGATATGCATTATCTGTAGGGTCTTGTTCAGGAGGTTTTATGTAATGGTCACTAAACCCAGTTACTTTCCATTGCCAACTATTTGATACGTTTGCCATTCTCTTTGTTTGCTCCATTCATTTCCATCGTCAAGTGTTTGATTTACAAAGATATGAGATGTCATGCAAAATATCTTTCCAAAATATAAAGGTCAGTGTTTTAGGATAATACCAAGCGTTAAATAAGCCTCTAATCTCATTAATCTTTGCACTACTTCCCCATATGTTGCAGATAGTTCTGAGTCAAAATTGGTTGAATATTCATATGTTAGAGAGGTCAGATTTCACATATTTAAAAAATTACTAACAAAATATGGGTTGTTCATATCTAACATTTTATGACCAGAGCTACATCGTCGAAGTCGTTCCAAACTGACGGTACTGTTTAAAAATTGGGTTCCTTTAACTGTGTAGCACATAGGACGTCTACATCAATTTTAAGCTCACTTATTGTTTTTCACCGACCTTAAATTCATCTGTACAGTAAAATCAGTCCATTCAGTATACTGATGAGTTGCAACATGTTGACAAAATATATATGTAATTTATGTCGCGAAAGGCATAGGAATGAGTTCAGACATGTCCGTTTATAAAATATGGATTTGTAAGTATATATATATATATATATATATATATAACGCGTTGCAACTCATCAGTATGTTGACCGGATTGATTTTATTGCATAGATTAAATTAAAATCACTGAGGAATAAAAGTAATATGACACTAAAGTACCAAAAATTCTTTCTTTACAGGTCATAGAACGCTTCCATTTACCTCGTGCTGATGTAAACTGAATATCTAGGTATTTGACTCATTTGTGTCAGTGATGGGAATTGACTAGTTGTATCATACTATAAACATCAGTTCAGATATTGTCGGGCTTCTAATTAATACTATTTTCGTCTAGATGAACTCAGAATAACTAATACTGAAAATTTCCAACTTTTTATCACTGTAAGAGCTGTGCGCAGAGTTTGTTATCAGGAATTCTTATAGCTAATGCGTTAAGGTAGTTAAAATGTGTAAATAATTTCAGCTTGAGAAATTCGATATATCGTACTCCGCAGACTGAAAATGATGGAGAAATATTTACAGAGGTACTTAGACTTTTCTACATTATCTCAAACCAACACGTTTAGGGATTCGACACTTTTCTTTTGTCCTGCTTGAATGGAAACAATCATACACTTGAATGGAGATCGATATTGTTTTCGAATTATCTTTTATGAATAGTTAAAATGACAAAACTTGGTGACCTTTGTTATTTATTGCTTAAAAGCCTATACTTTTATTTTCTACAACAGGTTTCGACTTATCTCTATCAAATGATTTCCTTACTAATATAAACCGTGCCCCTGGTTCTAATTTGGTTTCTGACATATGGAACTCAGTAGCTCCGCCATTCACCTCAGTTCCAACGGATTCCAGTTCACAGCTTCATGGTTACGTTGGCTCTAGTTCCACACTAAATAATATAATGAATCCGTCATCACCTAGTCGTAATGGCAATTCTATCAATTGTTCAAATCGTATTATAAGTAGTCGTACATTAGATAATTCTTTCGACACTGCAATTTTCAACTTCAGCGACACAAGACGGGAAACAGATGGTGACATCAGCCCAACTATCTTGCTTCATGACCGTTTACAACATGAACAAGATCTACACCAACCTCTAACTCGTCGACATAGTGATTGGATCGTCCCTTCTTCTCATTTGCTGACTGAGCTTTCAGCTGATTCAGGGAATACTGCTTCTTCACCAGGTCGTCATAATGTAGTTATCGATAGTGAACCAAATTCACAGTCATATTCGGTAAACAACTTTAATTTTATCCATGATTTAGATCAGTTATGTTTGAGCTCGTCCTGTGATAAAGATGCTGCCGCCAATGTTACTACCACGATATGCACCACATTGAATAACTGTGTAACTATTTGTCCTCCTGGTTTTGAAACACATGACCTCAACGAAAATGAATCTGTCTTCAGTCTTAAAACTAAGGAGTCGCTGGTAAATTCTACTAAACTCTGGTCATCTTCAAATCCTAGTAAAACTCACTGTACTGGTAATATTACTAGTAATACTATAAATGGTGTTAAAAATATTAATATTTCTCATAATCTACCACCACCATGTACTGAATCACTTGTTGGATCAAGAACATTTTCTAATACTTCTGTACTGCAACGTTTGTTCAATAATCCAACAAGTCAAGCCTGCAATCCAATTTCTACGAATAACAATGATTTTAATATGTCCGGCCGTTTGAACAGTTCCTTTTGGCCTCAGGCTAGTAATGATCACATTCCGATTTGTTGTTCATCAAATAACATTGACGATTCTTTTGGATTTTCTTATTTGCAAAGTGAGAATCAGTTTCAACACCATCAAAGTGATGCTGCTACGCGAAGTTCATCATTTTTTCCTGAAAATTTAAATGAATACACCGGTTCGATTGGGATTAATAATGGTAGTATTAATGATAATAGTAATAATAATAAAGGAGCAGAAAACACAGCTAATAATAGTAGTAGTCAATCTGCACGTTGTGGTACTATTGGTGAAGGTCGTCGTCGAAGACGCCCTAGTCCAAATCTGTTATCAACTAATAACGATACTATGGCTTTATCAGTTTCATCTTCATTGGCGTCTATTACAGAAGTGGCCTAGATAATCCCGCTTCATGGTAATCTGTAGCAATTTTAGCCTTTAAACTATTTAAGTGATCTTTTTATTTCACTTAAAATATTAGTGAATTATGGACTTGGCATGCAATAGATTATTGTTATGTATTATTTAATTTTATCAATTTTTCACAATCCTAATATCACTTTGGTGGTATGTATTACATTTGTATGTTGACAGTGTGAAACTTCGTTATCGCATTTCGGGAAACTATTAGTACTATTTGATAATGGTATACCTGTGGTATTGTTTTTTTTTAAAAATAATTGCTTTCCTATTTCACAATTGGCTTCCACGAATTGCTTAAGTAAACCCCATCACCTAATCCTCTCTAATTCTCATAACACTCAATGTTGTCCATTTTCAAAGTACTGTACGTACATATGTTCAATCATCTTTCTCTCGAAAATTCCAGTTGTTATACGTATACTTCAATTTTGTCTCTTTTATTGAGTAATTCTTTGATCTACAACAACGATTCTTGTCTTCTCTTTATAATTTCCATTCGGTGACTAATTGCTTCTTTCTGAATTTCGGTATGTTAACGATCGTTTCTCAGGGTTCTTTACTTGTGTCACACTATCGTTATCTATTATTGAATGTTAACTCTACTGTTATGTATACCCCCCCCCGGTTATATTCTCCTTCATAGAGAATTCAATCTTGTTTCACAGGTTTTATCGTTCACAATAAATGTACAAAAACTAAATCAAAATGTCACTTAGAAGCAAAAGATAAATAGGATAATGAATTTGATTTTTGTTTTCTTTCTAAAAATAAATTTCCTTCCCGGTTCTAAATGACCGTAAACAGAAAAATATGTAATTGATAAATGTTTACTACTATGAAGAACAATTTGTTTGTCTCTGTGCGAATTCTTTTGTTGGATATCTTGATCAGGAAGATATATTCAGGAAATTTTGTTTACTCGAATGCAAGCAAATAGTAACCGATTTTATTTTTCTACTAATTCAGCTAATATCGACATCATCTTATTTCTATTTGATTTACTTTTAAAGAATGGAGACATCAATACGAACTTTATATTTGTCATAATATCTGGTTAAGATTTTCACAAACGAACAGGAATGTGTTATTGTAGCATTTTTTCAAATCATTGTGCACTATGATCATCTCCACCAGATCGTTCATATCTTATTTTCTAAATACGCTGTGTGCTGATTATTAATAATGCTATTATTACTACTATTTACTTTAACTGAATCCGTTTACATAATGTCATCCAACCCACTTCTATCTACTTTCTTTACCTAGTTGCCCACATTAGTGTTATTTGCAGCTCTTGTTAAATTTCATAATATAATTTGATATCTAACATCATATTGTATTGTCATCAATATTTTCATACATATAATAAATTGTCTTGTTTCCTTCTACTACTACTACTATTTACTATTTAGTTCTTTTCCTCTATTATGTATGTATGTGATGAAGTATTGTTTAATACATTGTTAATTATTCACATCTTGAGAGATTATAAAAAGTGAATGTGTTCAAACAAAATCAAAATATAAATTAGACAGTTTTTCAGTTGACACAATGAATTGAAGATTTATGACACCGTTCTATTTGTGGTTGCTGTTGTTGTTGTTGTTGAATGAAGTTCTTTTTCTTATCCATAAAATTATGATATATATACACATACACACTTATGCTTTATAGTTCTATCAATTATATTTCATATTTATGTATTGATTATTCGTTTCCTGTTGATTATTGTCTTTATTGTTTCTACCATTATCACTATTATTTTCCTTTATATTTGTAATACCGTTGTTATTATTGTCATTATTATTAATGTTACCATTAACATAATTTTTTTAGGTCCTTATTTAAGCGATCATAAAATTAATAATGTTCACCTAATTTGTGTCAGATTTATTTATACATACAACATATACTATCAGGTTTCTTTATCCTTTTGTGTCTTCAAGATCTAAATAAAAAATGAATTGTTGATCTACAGTAATATCTTTCTACCGGTTCAATTTTCTTTCTTTATGATGTGTATATGTGTAACTATGCACTATGCTGTCTCTGTTATTTATCAAAATCAGGTGACATCTTCCTTCATTTCTAGTTCTTTTTTGTCTGCTGTTCACGGATCCCTTTTTCTATATATATATACATATATCGATTGTTATTTTGTAACAGTAAAATGAAATTAATCTTTATATTAGTATGTGTTAAACGAAACAGTTAAAAAAATCTTTGAGATGTAATTTATTCAAGATGATAGACATACGTTTTATCTTTTTTTTGTAGAACATTACTTATCTGTTGTAGACTGCATATTTCTGTTATTCTTGCATTCTCCTTTGAAAATGCTCTATCTATCTATTATTATGTTCCCTTTATTTATCTTCTTTTCCTACCACTCTTATCCTCATTGGCTGTCAATCCTATTTTTGTAAATTTGGTTTTGATGTTTCTCGACTTCCTAATAACATTTAAATTTATTTTCTTCATGTGTTTTTGTGCATTATCTATTTTGTCCACTACAGTAAGTTATATATATATATATATATATATATATATATATATATATATATATATATATATCATCTCTATTTTCGGTTCATCTACTCTCACAACAAGTTGAGTTTCATCATATAATTCTACTACCTAAGACATTTGTTTTTGGCCTCCAATGAAATTATCAATACCTTTAATATCTTATCTTCTTTTTCCTTACATGAATTTGTTAATTATCAACACTTAAACACATTTATTATATCTATTCATTATTCTATAATTAGCCCATCATATATACAGGTGAAACAAAACGGTATATTGTTTTGGTATTCTTAGTGAACTACTGATATATATGTATTGGACTTCTTTATTTTTCACCATTCGTAATATTACAATGTAGCACCTTAAATTATTCATATTAATAAATCTTACATAGACGCATATTATTCTATTTATACCCTTTAAATCATTCATAATTTATAGACCATAATAAACAATGAATTTAAAGCAAATGATATATTCTATATACCTATACATATATGAGTTTTAGTTCAATTTAAATTACATTGTACTTTTCTATTGCATACATTTTCTACGTATATATAGATGTGTATATATATATATATATATACATCTATATATATTTTGTATTACTTCTTGACGATGTCTTCATTTATTCCATGTCTACGTGTGTGTATGTATGTATGTACACGTGCGTGCTACGTGATTTGGAGTTTTTTCTAGGCTTTTTTGATGGAGAACAATGTTTGTGTTTATTACCGTTGAGACATATTCTGTTTTCTGCATATTCCTAAATATTGCACGCACTCATTTTAAGACATCAACCAATTTACAACAGATGATAATCTAGAGAAATCTCACCAAAAAAAGAGTATCCAAATCTGATCTAAAAAGTATTTTATCAATTCATTTATAATGGAAGAGTTTTTTTGGATTTGCTTTGCATGAACATATATTATATATATATATATATATATATATATATATATATATATATTATGGATTACTCGTCCTCAGTGCTAAATGATATTTTTTAATACAAAACATCCCGTTTATGATAGAATTTGTCGTCTACCCGGTTGAATAAGAGTGCTTATTATGAAACATTACTAATACCATTTGATTACTTTTATGCACAGCTGTGGCATTTTGTTTATCTTTTTATGTACATGTGTGTGTGTGTGCATTTGTGTAAGTGCATGGATAAACGGTCACAATCTATTATTAGTTCTTATTATGTTTGTTTTCTAGCCTTAATTGCACTATTAAAAAAAAAATAATTAAATTCTTGTTATATTTCGTGTTTTTTTCTCTGTTGTTAGAATGAGAAAGGGAGAAGAGTATGTTATTTTGCAGTGTACTGGTTGGACGACCTTAATATTACTCGATTGAAGTTGATTACATAACAAGAATTAAATCACCATCAGAATTTTAGTGTGAAATGTCGTGAATCGATAAGAGTGAATATATATTGTCTTTGGAAATTTTTCGACTGTTTAGATGGATTGGTTCAATACATCAATAAGAGTCACTAAAGTAATAAATATTGAGTACAAGTCGCTTCTTGTGGTGGAGATGGCGGTAACTGTTAAGTAAAAGTATTTATATGAGACTAATATTTTAGTACTGATGTTTATATAAAATGGATGAAGTGTGGCTAGCAGTGAAATCCAGGACGGTTCATCCTATTTGTGGCTTGTCAGTTAGATGTATTAGGGTCCCAGAGTTAATAATCACATCGGAACTCGAACCCCGTACATTTTGTTCCAAAACCCGTCACATAATTCATTTAGCTACTGAATCCGTATGTCCATACCTATACCAACGAGTATGAATTTTAATTTAATTTGTGATGGTTTAGTTAATCACATTGATATTTTGAAGGGAATTTGATCATAATTTCCGTCATGTAATATACCGTAGTGCGGAAATTTATTAGAATTTTGTTATTTTAATAATACATTTAACTAGATCAACTGAATGACTTTGCTTTGAACTGATTTGTATAAAATTTGCGATCATTCATCATTACGTCTATTGTTAATTTCAATCTTCTCAAGTGTTTATCTTAGTAAATGAACTTGAGGTCTCAAACATATCAATTCTAATCTGTAGTCTTTCACCTTTCTATACTTAGGTCTCTATAAGATGAAATAACTAAGCACTACTGATTCCAAACATATTTCGAAATGGTTGCGATTGCTTCTCGCATTTTGGGATTTCGTGAAGTGACTTCACAACGGTAGTTTCCCTTGATAAACATCTTATGGTAGGCAACTGTTCTCAGAAGATAGACAACATCGTCTTCTATTTTCCTTTTGTCGGTAAAAGTCCACTGACTTTCAAGTCTCTTGAGTACTTCTTGTTCTGTTAGCTTTATTATTTGGTTCCAGTGTCTTAGCTTTCTGCATACATGTGTTTACGAAATTCCCTTGATATTTTCATCACTGCATTGAAACAGTCCAAATTGCTATTTGTTCTCTTTCGAAAAACCAGATTGATTTTATTGTAATCAGCAGTTTTAAACATCCTAGTGGGTAAATCAGGTAAAACAAAAGGACGGATAGAGCTCTTGACAATCTGATTACACGAACATAACTCCAAATTTTTGTTTGGAATCTACTCAGACATATTTATAGTACGTACCAACTTTAGGCATGGATAAAAATAATTCCGTAGCAACCTTAAATATTGACTCAACAATGTACACAAGTAAACCATATCAGTTGTCAGTGGAATTGGTTTATCAAAGGCTATTGTTCTTTCTGACACATCTCTGAACTCCAAGTTCTTCCTCTTACAGGTACTTGATTGTTTCTACCCTACTCCAGACAGAGAACCTCCAACAGCTTAGTACTTAGTATTTAAAATGAGGAATTAGCTAAGTACTTACAAGGAAATGATTATCTCGACGTAGGATGTAGCGATTTATAGGTTGTCAGAAAGACAATAAATTCAGTTAACGAC